GCTAAGGGCGATTGTTGCTAAGGGCGATTGTTGCTAACGGGGGTGTGAGTCCACTGTTGGAGAAAAGTGAAAGGGGAGAGAACGAGGGGAGATGGGTGAATGAAGGGGAAATGGGAAATGAATGAAGGAAGGGGAGATGAATGAAAGAAGAGGAGATGAATGAAGGAAGGGGAGATGATGGAAGAAGGGGAGGAGGATGAAAGGAGAGAGTAACAGGGAGGACATAAGGAAAGGGATTAATCTCACTATGGATTGTATTCGGGATTAACTCTGGCAACACCACGGGGGTTGCCAGATTGTACTTATTATTCAAATATGATCATTTTAATTCAAAATTTCGAAAATTGAATGATAAAATTTTTGGGTCTATATTGGGGATCTCTTTGTCTATTTAATTCAAGATAAAAACAAAATATTGAAACTATTAAAATAATTTGGCTCACAGTGATCGCCAAAGACTTGAACCAGAGCTGTCTCTTTTGACAGTTCTGTCTCTCAGAAGAGAGACAGAATTCTCTCTCTCTCTCTCTCTGTCACACACAGGAAGCAGCTCCGTAACAGCTGTCTAACTCGAAGGTACCTATGTACTGCTAGGTAACAGCTGCATTCAGGGTGAAACAAACTTTGCCCATTTGTTTCTGCCTGGTCCTGGAATCGAACCTGGGTCACAGAATTAAGAGTCCTGCGCGCTGTCCACTCAGTTACACCAGACCCCAGTAGTGTGTGTGTGTGTGTGTGTGTGTGTGTGTGTGTGTTGCGCTTGCAGGATCGAGCTGGTAGCTCTTAGCAGCTGTTTAAACACTAGGTACCTATTTGCTGCTAGGCAAACAGAGGCATCAGATGCAAGAAACTGCCCATTTCTTTCTGCTTCGTTCAGGAATCGAACCCGGGTCCATTTCAACAGCAGTGGTAATGTGCAGTGGAAAATTCCTCGAAGTTAAGTGTGTATATGTGAACGATTTTGTTATCTACTCGTGGCTGTGAGAGAGAGAGGTTTAGTTCATGGGTCCCGCCTCTCGCACCAGTAGTTCATTCCACTTGTTCCTATAGTTTTACAGGACATTCCACCTTTTCCTCAAGTTTGGGGTTGGAATGGAGGTAAGATATTTTACCCTCCCGATCCCACATATATCCTCTCCTCCCCACCTCCTACATATGTAGGGTGGGAGGGGAGGTGATATGTGGTGTGGGGGAGCCGTAATGTCTAGTCACGCGAGAATGGAAAGGTAGTGGGCTGGATGTTGGATAAATATATATACCAGGGTGACAGGCTTTCTCACTGACCCCCTCTTTTTGCTCCCCTCACCCCTTCTCCCCTTTCCCCAGCTCATCTCCCCCCTCCCCTATCTCCCTCACAGACTCTCCCCCACTCTCTTTCCCCTCCCCAGCCTCTGCTCTCCTCTCCCTTCGTCCTTCCTTCACCTCTCTCCCCCTCCATATTCTCTCGCCAACCAGAGCTGGTGGTGCTGATCCCTCCTGGGAGCCTGGGTGGATCCCGGGGGATAATGATGATGTAGGTCCACCTTCCACTACCGACCTTGCCTATGACGTCAATGCCACCTCCACCACCACCAGCACTGCCCTCACCACCACCACCAACACTGCCCTCACCACTACCACCTCCACCACTCTCACAACCACCACCAACCTGCCATCACAACCACCACCAACACCAACACTGCCCTCACAACCACCACCAACACTGCCCTCACAACCACCACCACCACCAACACTGCCCTCACCACTACCACCAACACCAACACTGCCCTCACCACTACCACCTCCACCACTCTCACAACCACCACCAACCTGCCCTCACAACCAACATCAATACGACTACCACCACCAAAGCCACCACTATCCACGTGAAGGAGATTTGTCGATTCTTTATCTGAGACCTTTGACCTCGACCTGTGACCTTGACCGAGGACTCTGACCTATGAGCTTAGTCCAAACCTAAATTTTATAGCCTGAATACTTTTATCACTTGTCTGAGATAATGGTCTTAAATGTGTCTGTCTCCCCTTTTTTTAATATGAGGATAACGTTTGCCTTTTTCTAAAATTCTGGTAGATCTCCTGTCTCGAGTGTTTTATTGATAATTTTAGTTAGCGGATAACGAAGCACCTCTGCAGCCTTCTCCAGCAATCATAGTAAAGTACACACACACACACACACACACACACACACACACACACACACACACACACACACACACACACACACACACACACACACACACACCTGGGGCCTCGTAGCGCGCGTGGATAGCGCGCAGTAATTCTGTGGCGCGGGTTCGATTCCCGCACGAGGCAGAAACAAATGGGCAAAGTTTCTTTCACCCTAAGTGTCTCTGTTATCTAGCAGTAAATAGGTACCTGGGAGTTAGTCAGCTGTCACGGGCTGCTTCCTGGGGTGTGTGTGTGTGGTGTGTGGGGAAAAAAAAAAAAAAAAAGTAGCTAGTAAACAGTTGATTGGCAGTTGAGAGGCGGGCCGAAAGAGCAAAGCTCAACCACCGCAAAAACACAACACAACTAGTAAACACACACACACACACACACACACACACACACACACACACACACACACACACACACACACACACACACACACACACACACACACAGCTTCAAAATAGACATGATAGAACTCAGGAAGCTCAAGAACCTGTACTCCAGTAGTTTGACAGTTGAGAATATCAATTACTATTAAAATGTCCTTTTTAAAAGTACAAAAAATGACTTACTAGGACTCAATTACTACATTTTGGTACGATAGCCCACATAGATACAAAAGGTACTATGGAAACATAAAGCTTGATATATCACCATGGCCAACAGACAAAAAAAAGAGGCCTTCAATAATTATTCCATGTCGGCTGTATCTTCTACCCCATACACAATATACCTATTCGCATTGTTAGCCATTCGGGGAAAATTGGTGCACCAGTGGGGGGTAAGCCGAGCACAAACTATTGGTGCGCTCTTAATGGCCTCGTTAGGTCGTAACGAGCCATACGTCCTCCATACGAGTGAACGAAGCAGGGAGGGAAGTGTGGCGAGTGAGATAGAGAAGAAGCAGGTGAATGTAATAAATTGTTTCTCCAATACAATGCTGGCTGGTAGAGCTTTACAATGCTGGCCAAAATAGCTTTACAATACTGGTCAGAATAGCTTTACAATACTAGCCCAAATAGCTTTACAATACTTTCCAAAATAGCATTACAATACTGCTCAGAATAGCTTTACAATACTAGCCCAAATTGCTTTACAATACTTTCCAAAATAGCTTTACAATACTGGCCAAAATAGCTTTACAATGCTGGCCAATTTAACCCTATTGGTTAGTCCAGCTTAGCACAGCGTCCAGTAAAGATACAGAATGATTGTAACTGTCCCAGTACTGAGCTGTATGTAGTTACAGTGATAACCAATATGGCTATGGAAGGGGGCAAGTTCCGAATGGTTGTAATGCCAACCTAATAAAAAAAGGGGTATTCCAATATGTCCTGTCGGGTCGCCCAAAGTGACCAAGCACAATTCCAGCAGGGGCCCCCTATTTTGTAAAATTTATAGAATAGGTGCGAGCCTTGGCATATTTTATGTATGCCTCAAGTGTTTTCCAATATTGTGTCTATGCCTCAGTATCCTTCCATAGTGTGTCTATGCCTCAAAACCCTCCCATAGTGTGTGTCTATGCCTCTACCCCTCTATAGTGTCTATGTCTCAGTATCTTCCCATAGTGTGTGTCTATGCCTCAGTATCCTCCCATAGTGTGTGTATGTCTCAAAACCCTCCCATAGTGTGTGTCTGTGCCTCAGTACCCTCCCATAGTGTGTGTCTATGCCTCAGTTCCCTCCCATAGTGTATCTATACCACAGTACCCCCCCATAGTGTGTGTCTATGCCTCAGTCCCTCCCATAGTGTGTCTATGCCTCAGTACCCCCATAGTGTGTCTATAGCTCAGTACCCTCCCATAGTGTGTTTCTATGTCTCAGTACCCTCCCATAGTGTGTGTGTCTATGCCTCAGTATCCTCCCATAGTGTGTATCTATGCCTCAGTTCCCTCCCATAGTGTGTGTCTATGCCTCAGTTCCCTCCCATAGTGTGTGTCTATGCCTCAGTTCCCTCCCATAGTGTGTGTCTATGCCTCAGTTCCCTCCCATAGTGTGTGGCTATGTCTCAGTACCCCCATTGTGTGTGTCTATGCCTCAGTTCCCTCCCATAGTGTGTCTATGCCTCCGTATCCTCCCATAGTGTGTGTTTATGCCTCAGTACCCTCCCATAGTGTGTGTCTATGTCTCAGTACCCTCCCATAGTGTGTGTCCATGTCTCAGTACCCTCCCATAGTGTGTGTCTATGTCTCAGTACCCTCCCATAGTGTGTGTCTATGCCTCAGGACCCTCCCATAGTGTGTCTATGCCTCAGTATCCTCCCATAGTGTGTGTTTATTCCTCAGTACCCTCCCATAGTGTGTGTCTATGTCTCAGTACCCTCCCATAGTGTGTGTCTATGTCTCAGTACCCTCCCATAGTGTGTGTCTATGTCTCAGTACCCTCCCATAGTGTGTGTCTATGTCTCAGTACCCTCCCATAGTGTGTGTCTGTCTCTGTACCCTCCCATAGTGTGTCTATGCCTCAAAACCCTCCCATAGTGTGTGTCTATGCCTCAGTTCCCTCCCATAGTGTGTGTCTATGCCTCAGTATCACCATAGTGTGTGTCTGTGCCTCAGTTCCTTCCCATAGTGTCTATGGCTCAGTACCCTCCCATAGTGTGAGTCTATGCCTCAATACCCTCCCATATACATAATCAGACACAACTATGTAACCACTCGTGGTTACTTACAGACTGGGTGCACTAATTGCCCCATTCTCTTCTAACTGTTGTTAACTGCTGTAGATGTTGTCAGCCCAAGAGTTGACTGGCGTATATATATCGAGTTACAGTATTCATGAAATATCAATTCCCATTTTTAACTGTCTATTTTTGTTCTGTTTTCAGGTAAGCGGATTTACTCTGATGCACCAGGACGCCCAAGACATGAAGGTAAATGAGATAGTCTGTTAATTTTATATATATATTATATATATATATATATATATATATATATATATATATATATATATATATATATATATATATATAGATATATATATTATTTATCCACTTCCGAAGGGCACAGAATAGTGAGGGGTTACTATACGTTTTTTTCATCAAGCCACTGTTAATGTGGGAGAACTCTACATAATATATATATATATATATATATATATATATATATATATATATATATATATTATGTGAAACAACGGTGATGGAAACACTGAACAAAGTATGCGGAAAATTATTTTTAACTGTTTTTTCACATATATACATATACATACGAACATAAAAAAATCCATACATTCACGTATATTCGTATTATATAATCTAAGGTTGTTATCAGATTGCTAGAAATCCAAATGTGACCTTAAATAGACTTAATTTAATTAATTAATTAATTTACGGTTGCCTGTTGTTCTTAAACTTCTTAAAGCCTCTTTATTGGCTCATAACACTTTCTGTCCCCCTTAAGGATTATTTCGGACGCCCTAAATAAATTCATCTTTATTCCTAAAGATGAATTCAATAAATTATTCTTAAATTATTCTTTAGGTCTTAATCAGACCTAAAATATCTTTCAGATCCAAAATATGGATATATTTTAAAATATAATTTAAGACTTGTGACGTTTTGACCTGTAAACGTCAAAAGAATCTTTACGGATGAAAAATTGTCTAATCTGGAAGATGGTGAGTGGTAGAAGGTGGATGGTTAAGTGTGATGGGCTCTCCATAGCCCGTGCTGCTTCAAACTTTTTGTTCCAGGTAGCGAATATTAACCAACAATAACAACAGGTTAAGTGTGGAGGTTGTGTGTATTGGTGAGAGTGACCTATCACCATCACCACCACCATCACAACCACCACCACTACCACCAGCATCACTCAACCACAATCACCAGCAACACCTCAAACACAACGACCAGCACCACCAGTAACAGCAGGTCCACATATAATGGAGACCTCACCACTATTTGCATATCTTAACCCAACCTCGATACTCTGGCTTAGAGAATGTGCCTCACTGACCCTGCTGGAAAGGACCTCTCAGTCGCTTCCTAAACACACACACACACACACACACACACACACACACACACACACACACACACACACACACACACACACACACACCTGTTGATTGACGGTTGAGAGGCGGGACCAAAGAGCCAGAGCTCAACCCCCGCAAACACAACTAGGTGAGTACAACTAGGTGAGTACACACACACACACACACACACACGTACGAAATGAATGCTACTTCCTCATCTCCGTCATTCGTCGATCTGTCTGATAGTGTGACGTCTTTCACTTTGGTGACAGGCTTAGCGCCCCCTGTATGGTGACAGCTTAGCGCCCCCTGTATGGTGAGGCTTAGCTTTATACAGTCAATAGCTGTGTTGCTTCTCTACTCGGCTGTGTTAAAGTCTCTTTCCCTCGTGGTGTTGCCTTACTGTCTTACAAGCCGTGTAAAGTGAGCTTCCTTTCGCCTCACAACAAGCTTAACCCTTCCCAAAAAACTTAGGGAATTCCAGAGACTTACACTCTCCATGTCTTTCAACCGGCCAGCCTACCCACTCCGTCGACAGCATCGACCGGAGTGCTCGGATACCCTCCAGTGGCCGGTTAACTGAAGGGATGGGGGAAGACGCTTGGAGAGTACGGATACCCCTCCAGTGGCCGGTTAATTGAAAGGGTATAGGGACGAGCTCAGGTGAAAAGTCAATATTAAGGTTTTTTTCAAGAGTTTATTTCCCGGTAATCGGGTTGTAAGCGAGAAGGATTATCAGGAAGAGTTGCAGGAACAGTCGGAGGAGGAGCAGGAGGAACTGCAGCAAGAAGAGACGCAGCAAGAAGGAGGGATATCAAAAAGTTGAGAGTTACGAGACCAGATGGAACACGAGGAAGAAGCAGCAGAAGAAATGAAATAGGAGGAGGAGGAAGTGTAGCAGGAGACTCTAGAGGGAACTAATAGTGGATGGTACCTTTATCTAAGTGTAGTATCTTTACTAGTATCCACGGCTACATCGTGGATACTAAGAGTAAAGAGCAAGCCACGGACGAACTAAACGGACCGTCTACAGTGTCAACAGGACCCGCTCTCCATAGTCCGTCCCGCTGTTTGCCTTATCGATCTAATATGCTGATTAAAATAAATAATTACACCGTGGTAGAGAAGAGAGGGGAGGAGGAGGAGGAGGAGAAGGAGCAAGGGAGGGAAGGGAAGAATGAGGAGGAAGAGGAGAGTTGGGAATAGCTTTGAAAACTGCGGGACAAATCCCATTCCATACCCCTCTCATCCTGCAGGGCTAACACGCATTTTCGCTACTCTGAAGGGCGCCAGGAGAATGGTTGCTCTGCACATCCTCATTGTAACCCTTACACTCCCCTTCCCTCCTCTCTGCCTCTCCCCCTCCTGCCCCTCCCATTCCCGTTATCGAAGGTGGGAAAAACGGAAGGGAAAGGAGCCGGGATGTGTGGTAAAGATGTTTGGATACAGCGAAGTACTGTGGCTGTACCCCAAGGGGGGGCTGTATACAAGATAAGGCGTGGAAAATGCAAGGAAAGAGTGAGAAGAACCATGGGAGGAGGAGGAATTAGAAGGGAAGGGAAGAGAAAATAGGAAACAGCTACTGGAACTAAGAGAGGAGAGAGAGACTGGGGTTAGGTGTCACGGTAGGTGATCTTAGTTGAAAAGTGAGGAGGGAGGAGAAGTAGAGGAGACGAGAGAGAGTAACTACGGGACAAGAGTTGACCAGACCACACACTAGAAGGTGAAGGGACGACGACGTTTCGATCCATCCTGGCCCATTCTCAAGTCGATTGTCACAATCGACTTGAGAATGGTCCAGGACGGACCGAAACGTCGTCGTCCCTTCACCTTCTAGTGTGTGGTCTGGTCAACATGCTTTAGCCACGTTATTGTGACTCATCGCCTGCATACGGGACAAGAGGACAAGAGGGAGAGATACCTGGAGCGGGATAGAGAAAGGATGCGGGCGATGAAAGAGAAGCAGGAGGAAGGAGTGAGAGGTAGTAGAGAGATAAGATGAGAGGGTGCAGAGGGATGGGATGACAGAAAGTAGAAGGATGGAATAAGAGAAAGTGGAGGAGAGAACGAAAGGTTTCCTTCTGGGTTGCCAGCTTTCCTGCATGAATGCAGATAGAGGGAAGCATAGCACTGTGTTCCCCTCCCACAGGTATGGCCATACATGTATACCCTGCTAACCAACATATATACATTTCATTCACTTGCGCTTCACTTAGGTATATACAATTAGCTCAGTAAAGCTGCTATCTTGCAATCCGATGGTCGTAAGTTCAAGGCGCCCATGGAGCAACTGAATGAAAATTTTATTCCCATGTTGATTGTGGTTTACAATTTGCATGCATACATTGCCATCGCTCCTGTATAGACAGTGTTAAAGAGCTCAATAACTCACAGTACTTAGTGAGTTATTGAGCACTCAGCCAGAAAAGATGATTGTAGTACTTCTAGCAAGCCAACGAGCAAAGATACATTTCGTCTGTCATACATAGGTAGGGTTAGAAAGCTACTCTCCCATGTATAGTACAATGAGATATTAAGTACTCAACCACGGTAGTGGAACACGTGGTTGTTCCTACATCACCACCCGTTCATAAGCCAAACAAAAAACACAAAAATGATAAAAAATTAAACGTATTTATTTTGTCTATTGTTGCTGTGTTTACATTGTCTCTTATGCAAATGTCACGAATGACGTCATAATGACGTCACTGGTTGGCCCCTTGTTCGTTTCTCATTGTCCGGGACAAGAAACCTGTTAGGCTTATCGAGGTTTCCCCCTAGCCCAACGACTGACCTTCCCAACGGTGCATTCCACAACAGTTGCCTAAATCCCAGTTATATATATAAACTACCAGGTGAACAAAAGCATCAGGGGGGTGAAGAGGTGTGCCCAAACGCATATAGTTACCAATTACCTATGATTAACTACTAACAGATACGGATAGAAAATTATGAGGGGAAAGCGCGAAGCCATTATGACGGAATGTATGTGAGATAAACTTTAGAGCTGGGATACGAGGACAAGGAGCTGGGATACGAGGACAAGGACCTGGGATACGAGGACAAGGAGCTGGGATATGAGGACAAGGACCTGGAATACGAGGACAAAGAGCTCGGATACGAGGACAAGGAGCTGGGATACGAGGACAAGGAGCTGGGATACGAGGACAAGGAGCTGGGATACGAGGACAAGGACCTGGAATACGAGGACAAAGAGCTCGGATACGAGGACAAAGAGCTGGGATACGAGGACAAGGACCTGGAATACGAGGACAAAGAGCTCGGATACGAGGACAAAGAGCTGGGATACGAGGACAAGGACCTGGAATACGAGGACAAAGAGCTCGGATACGAGGACAAAGAGCGGGGATACGAGGACAAGGACCTGGAATACGAGGACAAAGAGCTCGGATACGAGGACAAAGAGCGGGGATACGAGGACAAGGACCTGGAATACGAGGACAAAGAGCTCGGATACGAGGACAAAGAGCGGGGATACGAGGACAAGGACCTGGAATACGAGGACAAAGAGCTCGGATACGAGGACAAAGAGCGGGGATACGAGGACAAGGACCTGGAATACGAGGACCAAAGAGCTCGGATACGAGGACAAAGAGCGAGGATACGAGGACAAGGACCTGGAATACGAGGACAAAGAGCTCGGATACGAGGACAAAGAGCGGGGATACGAGGACAAGGACATGGAATACGAGAGCCAAGTTTTTTCTACCACAGACGTGGCCAGACATTTACAATGCTAACCAGCATATATACATAGTCTTCTGTCCTCCACTGACAGGGTGAGAGATCTGTTAAACATATAATTCAGTGATTTCTTGAACAATCAACCACAGAAGGTGATAATAATGCATTTAAAAATGCTACGCTAACCTA